TTAAATGCTGAGTTTTTTAATTGACTTCCTTCTAAGCGTCACCGCTTTCAAACCAGAACCTTCCTTCTGAAAGAATCCCTTCAAAACGAAACCCCAAACTCCGGTGTTCTCAAAGAATCCCTTGAAAACGAAACCCCGAACTCCGTTGTGTCCTTTTTCATTTACTGCAACTGTTTCACAGTTCGATATTTTCTAAGCATATATGGAGTATTCACCTGCAAGGAGTTCAGCTTCAGCAAGTAACTCTGTTGATGGGGGAAGCAAGCCGGAATCTCATGATCAGAGATGTGCTGAGTATAAGTGTGGCTGTGGTCTCACACCGGCAATCCGAACATCCTTTACAGTCCAAAACATGGGTATGAGGTTCTGTTGCTGTCCAAAGAAAAAGGTAATGGAGGAGTCCGTTTCTTGTCTTTTTTTTTTTCCCCAATGGTTATATTTGATATGTACACTGATATTTTACATAACAGGATGCATGCCCCTACTTCCATTTCATGCCTGGTGAGCAAAGGATCCAGGGTCGTGCCTTGGAACTCATCCTCATTTTAAAAGAAAGAGAATCAAAAGCTGTTAAAGAGAAAGACAAATTGAAGCAAGAAATGGTTGCGCTTTTGCAGGAAAAAGGACGAATCAGTGATGAAAATAACAAATTGATGCGCGAAAACCTCAATCTAGTAGAAGAAAACGTCCAATTGAAGGATGAAAGTGCATTTATCGATAGGACGGTAAGAGCTTTGGAGAAGAAGGTGAAGAAAGTTGAGAAGAAATGCTCACGTGTGAGCATGATCAGTCATTTTTTTTTTTGTTGTTGTTTATTATTTTTATCATAGGATTCACAGCTACAATTATCAAAAAAAAAAAAAACCCTAAGTTCATTACCACTTTCTTCGCTTAATGTATTTAATTAAAGTACATTAAATGCTAAGATTCTGGAGTGCGAAATTTATGTAATAGTTTTATTGCCTATTTACTGTTATTCCAATCTATCTGGGAATATTTTGCTACTGTATCAATATGTTAATATTGAATGTAA